GAGGGGGCGGGTGAAAAAAACCCCAGCCCACCCTCTGGGCGGGGGGGAGGGGTGAAACCCTCTCCGCCCAGCCGAGTTTCTCTCCTCAGACTGAGTTTTAAAACAGTTCCTCGTTTGAAAAATGTGTCCGAGCCAGTTGGTTGCGGCTCGTCTGTGGGACATTTTGCATATTCCCACAACCGTATCTCCGCCACAGAGTGAGGCTCAGGTAAAGCGCAAAGCTAAAGGACACTTCTATAGGCAGAAATCCACACAGCGGGCCGTGTTTACATACGTTTTTATCCCCACAGGGAGGATTTCTGGCAGGTGTGAGTGACAGTTTTGGAGCACTTTCTTTGAACTTGTGTGGAAAACAAAGAATCGTGCTTTTCTCTTTACCTGCCCGGATGGATAATAGCTTTGAAAAAAAAAATTAAAAAAATGCAATCTCGACATTTCTTCCAGCTGAAATCCACAAACCCAAAGAGAGAGGATTTGTAGCACCAGTGCTAATCTCTTTCACTTCCACGTTAACGTTCCTGTCTTCGTGCGTTATGATCTGCGGATTGTTTGCTGACATGAATAAAATTGTAAACATTTTCTGTAAGCAAAAATGGAAGAGATTGTTTTTATTTAGCTTTTGCTCAACGAAACCTTTTAATTACTTGAATTTTGCAAGCAATGTACAAAAAAAAAAAAAAATCCAACATAATTCAAAGACCTGCAGCTGTATTTGGAGTGACAAAATGGTTTAACAAGCTCATGGGGTTGAATACAGATGCACACCACACTTTTAAGATTTATTACTGTGAATACAATTAAGCTATAATAAAACAGAATATGGAAAAGTTAGAGGTCTGAATGCCAGGTACAACTGTACTGTTAATATTTAACAATTTCATAAAAGTGAAGTGTGGAGGGTGTAGCAAATCAATAATTGTTGCTTTTGGTTCAATTTAAAACTATTTTCTTTCAAAGGGAAATTAAACATTGTTGTAAATCATGTCATCCAAGTTGAGTTGTGGCAGTCAGTCTCGCAACGAATCTGAAGAGGCCTCTGACTGAAGACACTGTTGCTGAATGACACCATCAGCTAATCCACCTCTTTTGCTTTTGCTGCTCTTGGAATCTCTCTCCGGTTTCCAGGTAGAGAGACAGAATCAGGGATTTAATCATTACGATCTGCTGTCCTGCTCTGTGTCCGTGAAGCCGTCTTTTCAACTCCTCTTGGATTCTTTAGGTCATAGTTCAGGTGTTGTTTGAGCTTTTGAAATGGTAATCAGCTGCTCAGAGTTAAAACCAACATCTTGTTGCCACGGTTACACATCACACTGGCTGTTTGAAATCTCAAATGAGAGCAAAAATCCTTCTGGCTTAACAGCATCCAAAACCAGAGGGAATAATTGTCCACACAACCTTACAAAAAATAATCTGAATAAAATTCTACGAAAAAAATAACTTAAAAATGCTGCCACTACTATCGCCGTGGGTTACTGAAGTGACCAGTGTTTATAAACTGGTGTGAAGGGGAACATGGGAAAAAAGTTATTACAACAAAAAAAAAATTAGATAAAAAAAAAAAAAACACATGTAAAGTTTTAACTAGCCAAACAATTTCACACTAAAAGTAAAAGATTAAGACCAGGTTTTCCTGCCAACATCAATAGAATTTGAAAAATAATTCAGTAGTTATAGAACTACTAAGATAAAGAACCCAACACTGAATCTCCACTTTGTCCAATATGAATGTACTTTAGAATTAGCATTGTAGCACAGTTAGTTGCTACAGGAAGCTAGAAAAGCAGCAGTTCAAAACTAAAGTAGGTCACTGTGAATCTCTCAAGACGAGGCAGTAAAACAGAATTATTTATCCAAAGAACCAAAACATAACATAGGCTGTGCTTTAAATTCTGGGTTTCCAAACTGAGGGTTGCAGGCCATTTGCAGTCCGTGGATTGATTTCAGGCGACCCTCGAACTGGATTTCAAGAATGCTGGTCAACACATGTAATTAATGCTGATGGAATGTTTTGTTAAGGCAAAAGTTACAAACAAATTGAAAATCTTCTTACAATTAAAAATATGACAAAGTATTGGTCTTTTCGATAACCACCATTTTTGCATTTAATGGTCACTAACAAAACGTCCAGAAGACGCAGACTTTGACTCAGATTTACTATAATAGCCTTTTTTTAAGCCAAATAATTATACAGTATTTTGACTTAAAATACATCACAACAAGAATGTGTTGCTGCTTCTACTCTTCTAAACAGAACAGATTATGTAAGACAGATCTGTGCAAATCTGCCAACATGAAAAAAGGCCATCTGTTTTATAACAATCATTTCCAAACTTATACATTACGACTCAGGTGTTTGAGTAATACCAGTCAGCAGAAATGTACTGTGAACGAGTAAAACAAAGTGAGCGTGACGAAATATATTAATGTATGATGCACCATAAAAACCATTATGAAAAAATGTATCTTGTAGTAAATTGTTGGTAAAAGGATTCATTGTTTATATTACACACAGACACACAGGGAGGTACGTGGCTGGTCGAGGAGAAAGGGACTCATTTGGAAGTGGGTCGCTGCATATATTTCTGCTATAATTAGAGGAGAGCTTTGACAAGGCAGCTGGATGCAAATTAAAAGATAGCCACACTGACACAGTGACACCAAGAAATCGGCACTTACAAACAGAAACTAACAGGCCAGGCGCAAATATGTCGCTGAAAAAAACACATTGAAAAAACCTCTGAAACCTCCACTGAACGTCACTATACATGATCCAGATTTAGAGACAATATCATCTCCAACATGTTTATTAGAACATATCCAATGCTAAATGACAGTAAACTCTATGTTGGACGCTTGAGTAAGAGCCGTAGATATAAGGAATTGAAGAAGGGACATGAGCGAAGGAGAAGATAAACAACATGTTATTGACTAAACTTTGTTTACCCAGCCATAAATGGGACGGAAGAACAGGCCCACTCAAGGCTAACACTCATCAATACGGGAAGAGAAAAGTGTCAATATGTGTGTCGCGCAGCACCAGCTCCATTCCAAGTAAATCTGACAACTTGCTTCCCCTGAAACAACAACCAGAGTCATAATACGAGACCTCCAACAGAGGCTGCACTATAAATAGTTTCTGTATCATGTCTGGAAGTGGCTGACCAAATTATAGCAATTGCAGATCAACAGGGATGTTTAGCTGTGAACATAACTAATAACTCTGAGGCTTTAGCGATAAAGACTGGTGTTCCTCAAGGCTCAGTCGTAGGGTCACTTCTTTTTGCTATTTATCTCAGTAGTTTCCAGACGTTTATGAGGTAGAATCTTCCAATTAAGGGATGAGGTTCCTTGTGTTTGCCGAAGAAAAGCCTCCCCACATAGCATAATGACAACACATCAGGGTGATTTGCACTATTTGTTTCTTGGTGACCAGAACATCTGCCTCCAGATGGTTTTATTTTTATTGTTAAAACTGCTCTTAATGCTTAAGAACAACACTAAAATTGATGGAGACATCACCTAACAGATCTGAGGCAATGGGAAACAAAGCAGTAGTATCAAAGTCTCATTGTGATGCGACAAAAGCAGTCCAGTGAAATCAAAGGGACGCACGATAATCAGAGTTAACAGAAATGATCAAGCAAAAAGCAAGACATTTGATGTTCAGAACCGTTTTAAATATATCTTTGGAACAGCGTTTCATAAAGAGACTACAACGATGTTATCAACTATAAAGTTGGGTTCCCGAAGAGTCGGCTAAATGCTGAGAATGAAGTTCATGCCACCAACGCGTGTGCCCTGCAGTTCATCAGATAACCCAGTGGTATCATAGGCAGGCCAAAAGAGAAGGCGGAGGCAGCTGATGATTCAGGGGTATCAAGCATACATCAAGCATAAGGAGCAAGGCAAAGAATTCATGAGCATCAGATCCATTATCCATGATGAGACAGGAAAGATCCAAGACGATGTCCCCTGGCGATCAACCGCCAAGTCAATGCTTCAGGCAATGGAACAGTAGAGGAAAAAGAACCCAAATTACAAGAAATTGCATATGTATAAAAAAGTAAGTGCACAGCAATACAGCAGAGGGTGACAAATGGATGAGGTCTCAAGAGAATAGAAGACCGACTTCGCTGGGAACCCCTCCATCAAAATGCTCCAAATCTGACAATTTCTGTCAGTTATCTGACATGAGATCATGTTAAAGGAATACTAAAGGGAGAAATTCTTAAAATAACACTACAAAACCACCTAAGTTCTAACACTTTATGCTTCTTATCAGACGCATCTAAGTCGCTTTATGGTTCACAGACATCTCAAGTCAACAGAGAGAAGTATTTAAATGGCAGACAGCTGTATTTTACAGATGTGTCTATTTATGGAAAATTTAGGAAAAAGATGCAAACAGTCTCGCTTCGCTGTTCAAAAGAATTCACAGTATTGTACTGTTCAACAAGACAGAGATCAATGTTTGAACAGATTCAAGGGATTTATGATTTGGAAAAGTTTTCAACCATCAAGATGGCAAGAATTTCTAATTCTGAAACTTTCTCGACCTTAATGGAAACCAGTTTGATTTTATCTTCCTCCACATTCATAAACATGACAAGTTCAAACTTTATGTTTTGTTTTTTCTTGTGGCACAAACAATAGTTACATGGCCTTTAACTTTTTCCGATTTTTTTTTTCAAATTATAGACATGTTCATGTGATAAACTAGCTAGCAAAAAGTAAAAAAAAAAAAAAAAAAAGGTCATTGGTTTCAAGGTTTTTACAAGAAAAATAAACATAGAAAATCTGGAAAAGTGTGGTGTGAATTTGTTTGTTAACATCAATTACAATTAATGCAAAAATAGATTATTTGCAATATCATTCAAGCTTAGATTCCAGTTTTGCCAAACATTCCTAATTGGTTTTGGGTTTAGATTTGACTGGGCCATTCTAACACGACAATATAATTTGGTCCTCCATGTTTTACGTACTGAAGGACTCAAAAGGAGGAATAATTAACAAAAACTTAAAACTGGACTCCCTAAAACTGTCTTTCCAAAATAAATAAATAAAACTAAATTTTACAAATATTTGGTACCATTTTTTTGGTCTGGCTCTTAAAATCCATTCAGGTCTGTAGTCACAACTTGACATAATCTGAAAAACTTCATCAAGACTATAAATATAATGAAAGGCATTGTACTGCACTAAAACAATGGTGAAGATGAATTTAAAATCTCTACTCCAGCTATAGTTCACCCAGCCATGTAAGGTGACGACTTGCACACTTAGAAAGGATGTAGTGAGAAACCATATGGTGAAGTTTGCCTTATGGAATCAGTATGCATTTGCTGTCACTAAGAAAAAAATGTTTCATATTTAACTTTTTCTCCTTGCAGCGCTCTGACGTCTTTGCGTTTCTTGCAGCATGACTACCAACTGACAGGTACGACATCTAACGCACTCGGTTCAAATATGAAAGACAAAGTGATCCTAACATGCTCCAAAAAGGGACGTGTAGCATTTGCTTAGCATAATGTGAAACAAATGTGAGCAATTCAAGGGAGTGAGTTTATGTTTCATACACGAAAACTGCCTGTTTGGGTGAAAATTGGAAAGTTCTTTGTATTCTTCTTTATAACCGCCTTTGAAACGTGGCACGCTGAAACAAATGTTCACTGTAACTTACACACACACACACGGAAACACACCTGCCAGTGGAGAATAATGCTCCAGATGAGCCCGAGAATCAGTTTGTGATTCCCATCAACGATGTCTGCCGCTCCAATATTCACCAAATCAACCTGTAGAGAGGCAGCAGACACAAAAATCTCGTGATTGCTTTGTTTTCCCAACAGCCAAACTGCTTTCCTTACCTTCTCTCCTTCTTGTTTTTCTCTGACTCTGTTTACAAGGGGTTGGTGGAGTCAAGTTATATCAAAAACACTTAAAAGTTATCATCAAGAGTGGAGGACATACGCATTAAAGGGGCAGTATTATGTGTTTCCAGCCACATAGTATCATTTTATAGCACAATCAAATGACTGTTAGCTTCAGTTGTAATAAAAATGCTCCATAAAGATAATTTATGACTTAAAAGAAATCTGACTTTGAAGTTTAGCATGTTAAAATTGGGTCTCTGTCTCTTTAAGAAGCTCCTTTTCTTTCTGAAACTCCATCTCCAGGAAGTCATCACAACATGTCTCCTCTATTAACCCTTAAACAACATTTTTGCCCACGTTTCTTTGAGAAGTTGATGAATGGTTGCCATGGGAATTTAAAGGATTTCTCAAACATGCATGGATCATTTAACATGATGTAAAGTTCAAAAAAGTCAATTTTACATATTACTGCCCCTTTAAAACACTTTCATTACTATTTTGGCCCCAAATGTTTCAGTTACTCTTTCGATATCTTTGGAAAATTCAAACAACCAATAAGAAACATCGAAACGTGTTGCTCAATGAGGAAAAGCTAGGACTTTTGCTAACATATGGTAGCAAGTTTGTAATTCAGGATGTGACATTTGAACTTTTAAGTTTCTCGTCAGTGTCTAAAGTGTTGTTTTGATGGTTTAAAGACCTACACATCATTTTTTTTTAAAGTTTCTTTAAAAAATAATAAAAGAACCCACATTTTGTCTTTGTCAATATTGCCTTTTCCTCGGGACTTTTCTGAGAAACGCCTGAGGAACTGTATGTTCTTATCATCGAATAGGGACTTATAGGGAAACGTCCAATGTTCAAACCACACAGAAACCTCAGAAGAAAAGTGTGACTTCCTTCTTTATGAAATGTAAACAAAAATGGAATGGTGTCAGACATTAACGATTGTAGGATTTCTCTTTTTGTCTTTGGTAAAAGACCGCATTTACCCAGAATGCCCTGCTCTATAGTTTGCTTCCTGCTTTTGGTAAAACATCACACACTATAAATTTTAGAACCTCCACAAATATTACATTAAAACAAGATATGTACACAACATTTTTTGACTGTACGCTCAGTGTGTCTTCTGTTGTCGGGTTTATGGGTTTTTTAGGGTTTTCTGTCAAATTACTTTAGTGTCTGTCTGTACACACCCAAACTGTGATTCAGTGTGTTGTAGTGTGTGTGTGTGTATACTCACATTGTTCTTCTGCAGGATCTGCAGAGCACGGTTGACATTGTTAAGTGAGTGAACACGGCTAGTCCCTTTCTCCAGTCTCACCTACACACACACACACACAAATACGCACACACACAGGAAGCAGGCAGAGGATATTAATGACCTTGCTCAGAGCATTCATAAGCAGTACAAAAAGCCAAATTATAATAAATGAGTGGCATGTTTGCGTGTGTGTGTGGATACCAAAACAAAATCGGATCAATTGTAAATCAATCTGCATTTTTTTACAGAAGTTAAAGTACAGGAAGTGGTGCTGGACCACTTGAGTGCTTACCTTAATGTCATTCTTTCCAACTCTGACCACAAACCACTAATATTTTATCTTTTCACGGTAAAAGAACCATCCAAACCAACCCGGCTCCACGTGAAAAAAGTACGGCAAACGCAACCCAAAACCAATTTTTTCCAATCTGTTCATTCCACAAAAATCCAATTTGAACCACTTCATATATGTGGGACTAAGTTTGAGTTTTCAATAGTTTTCAAAGTATGCCACTGCCATGTGTGGGAGTTTGTATGATGGTATATTTACTTGCTGTATCAGTTTCAGGCCAGACGAAACACGGCGAACAAGTTCCAAAAACAAGCTCCAGATTTCTTCCGTCAGAACATGGAATTTCCACAACAGTCTTGGGGATCATCGTGGAATTTTTTGAGAAACCTGAAAAGAGCTTTTATGTTGTTTTTGGTCAGCAGCTGTTTTGGCTGTTGGACTCTCATGAAAACCATTTTTGCCCCTTCTTGTTGAATCATGAACACTCAATTTATCTAGGGGAAGTGAAACTTGAAGAGGTTTTGATGATCTGGGTTCTTTACTGAAATGTCTGGATGAGTGATCGATGTATTCATGGAGTCATTTTGGTAGACCTGTCACTCCTTTCACCAATGTTTATGGGTTTTTTTCCCCTACATTTCTAGAATTTCAAATCAGTGATGTTGCTTTTTTAAAACTCGTCAGATCGGGGAATGATGTGTTGCTTTTACAGATCTTGTCTACTTCATGCAGTCACACAGGTTATGTTTTGGAAATTTCTTGTGTCTACAAATTTGGAAGTGGTTAGGCATTAATATGGAGAATAAGACTAAACTTTCCAAAAGATGTAGATGATTACAGTTCATACAGGATTTGTCTTTTTCCTCACAGAGTCAGAGGTTTGGATAACTTTTCCTCCTGAATAAAGGAAACCCATATTTGAGGATCTAAAGCATTTAAACGCGACAAAAAAGAAAAACAGAAAGAACTCCAACTAAATAAAACAAAGTTTTAAGAAACAATCCAGTAGTTTTGCGTTCTCTATAACTAACAACCTTCGTTTCGACAGACAGCATGCAGTGGAAACCACCTAACATAACAGTACTTGCAGATGGAAAATGATACATTTTTTAGCTTTTTTTTTTTTTTAATTAGAAAATGTCTCAAAATTTGGCCTTTAGCAAAAGTCTGCTTTTAGCCTAAGAGCTATGTGAGTGCTGAGGGTAGACAGGGTGCCCGGATGTGCTGCTCTATTCCATTTATTGTGGTAAAAGAAAGAGTGGGAGTGTGTGTGTGTGTGTGCGTGTGTGTGTGCGTGTGTGTGTGTGTCCTTACTAGCTCGTGTCCTAGAAGGCCCTCCAGCAGCTCCAGCAGGCGTCGTCCATCACACAGATCTGAGAACAGATCCTCCACAGGCGGCTTTCCTGTCTGAAACACAGAGACAGAGCTAACCTTTAACAGAATGCACTAAAACTCAACAAGAACAGCAAAACATGAGCACCATTCTTTAACATTCACATGTTCCCAGCCGGAAACAAGTCATTTCTTTCGTAGTGGTAAATCAGAACCAGAACTATTGGCTGACAAATGAGGAAAAACAAAGGCTGGAATGACTCCTGTAGAGATGCTGTGGGGAATTTGCTAGTTTCACAGAAAAGGCCAGAGGTTCAGCCTCCAAAGTGGCAGAAAACAACACGCTGGTCTGAACAGGGACACATTTCTCGAGTAATAACAACACAGCCTGGTGTTAAATGTGAAGATAACAATTTTATACCCGGGGGGTTGTTCTTTATCTGCGCTGACAAGTCTGGCCTTACAAACTAGGAGTTGATTCACACCAGAACACGCTGCAGGCTGAATACACTCCGAGTTCCCCTCTTAGAACGAAATCAGAGGACCTGAACAACTGATTCGGTAGATAAAATGTGGATGTTTTAAAATATTTAATATGTTTGCTAAATGTATTGCAAGTAATATTGTAACTACGTTGAAAAGCAGCAAATAATAAATGTTCAGAACCTAAAAGCAACAAAGCCCCAAGAGATCGGAAAGATCTGGATCCGTTTTTTTTGTGTGTGCGCAACTTTAACTTAAACTATTAGATGAAAACCTCAGTGTGATTCATATTCTTTTCATTATTTTTTTGATTGATCTTGTTTTTTCTAAGATGTGACAAGGCAACAGTTAACATTACTTATAAACCACTTTAACATTTTAACTGAGGCTGAACAGTGCTGAAGAGCAACAACAAAAAAAAAAAACAAAAAAACAGATCAATACACAAAGAAAGCAAATTACACTTAAAGTATAGAAATAAAAGTTAATGTCTCACATCGTGTTGAAGGCCAAGGCGTAAAAGTAGATTTTCAAACAAGGCTTAATCTGGAGTGAAAAGGTATTGTTCACTGTAGTATGTAACTTTCATAATTTTTATTTTTTTTTTACATATTTGTTGAAACCTTCACTTAGCCCTGATAGCATGAGACAGATAATTGTGAAAATTATTCACAATTGTACCGTCATCTGCAGAAATACACAGCGGACAGAAACAACCAATCAGAACCAGGAGGAGGGTCTTAGTGCTGCCAATCACCAAAAAAAAAAAAAAATGTATAAAGAACACAGAAAAACAGAGCTCTCTCTCTCTCTCTCTCTCTCTCTCTCTAGGTGTTACTTATAGAACAGATCTATTAGATTTTTTTGGTGATATCATCACACCAGCCTACCACCTGTTGACCTCTGTAGATGGATACCAGCCGCCCTCCAAAATACCCCAGCACCATTTCTTCTGGGTGATTAATATTCTGTCGGTGAGTGACTAAAAATCCATTCCCCATTCTGCACATGGAGAACTATAAAGAATGTCTTTTGTCCTTTAAGTGACAGCCTCCCTGTAATTTTGCTCCCTGAGGATGAAAACAGATTATCAAGTGTCCCAAGTGCAAAATGAAAGCTCCTCTAACTACAAGTCCTGGGGGATCTAACAGTTTCGAAACCTGAGAGCACTTATAACTCAAGCATCAATAAAACTGTACAATGGTGAAGCAGGGGGAGAATGAAACAATCCTCGACTTAACTCTATCCCCAGCAGAATGTGTTTTCGTTTGGATTTTACCTGAAATATAAACTCGTATTTGCTGTTGAATTATGTAAACTTTATGGCACTCTTCAAACGTTATGATACAGCCGTTTTCAGCATATGAATATGAATTTTACGTTTCACCCATTAAAGTACAATAGACCCCCATCCCCACAATACTGAGAGGGACACAGCTCCCGTCTGTGAAAAGCTACAACCTGCAAATACCTTAGATTCTCTATAAAACTGCTTATTTTAATAGTTAAAGCTCCATATAACCCGCAATACACGTAGTGCAAACTAATTTGGCTGCAAAAGCGAGCGCCCATGGTCTTCCATATCTGGGGTGAAACCAATCAGCGGCAAGAAAAAAAGAATGGCGCTCCTGGGTTGGCTGCTTTGCAAACCCAGGACGTGCTAAGTAGCATTGCAACTAGGAAGCTTCCAAGCTCTTAGAAACACTCAGAAACAGGTGAAAGTTTTGGAGGTGCAATCCGAAGAAAAATCAGCAAAAAGATGAATCTGAGCAGGTATTACGTATTTTGAATTTTAACTGGCGGCTACCAGCTTCAGTATCAATACCGGCTAACCGCTACCAGCCGTTAGCCATCTGCATTCCTAGCATGTTTACATTTTTGTTTCTTGGTTGATTTGTTCAGGGGCATTCATAGCCCAAATTAAACTGCAGTGTTGGTCACATACAAATGTGAGAGTTGGTTCATATCTCATCTTTCCCTCTGAAACAGTTAACTTTTTTTTTTCTTGCCACAGCCAATATATTGCAAAATACAAAAGTTTAGATTTATTTCTTTTTGGCATATCCTTCAATTGCTTTGCAACAGAGGGTTTTTGACCAACCTGACTGTCGACAGAACAGGAAGATATAAAACTTATGATTCCCAAAGCAATGGAGGTTATTGTATACCATCCAATGCCTATTTTGTTGTTTTCATGAGTATAATAAAAGGTTTAAAATCGAAAAATCTTTGATTGCTGTAGAACAACTAAATCCAGGTTTGACTCGTCTGTTGCAGTTTTCATGAACGTCTCAATCTGAAACTCAAAGCTAATTACACATGAGGTTTCCATCGATAAACGAAGGTTTTATGAATCTCAAGTTGAATGACCAGTCAAGGTATTTCACGTTTTGAACTGGAAATGCAATAGGAAACTTTTTTCTTTATTTCTGAGCGCGCGTACCGCCCCCCCTGATTGTCATCACCCACCGCAGTGAGCCCTTTCATCCGTATCAAAAACTGCTTTGAATGGTAATTCAATCTCTATCCTAACTGGAGATCCTCTGATCTTGACATCCGTCAGGTTTTTCATTGTCATAATGACAGAAAACAGACAAGCATGCACATATATTCAACCCACATCTTCAATGTCAGAAAAATCCTTAGCAAGAAATCTCAAGTGTTTTATTTTGGGGGGACTTAACTTGTAAAGCATATCTGCCATTAAACAGGGAACAGACGGATTACAGAGTGAAAAAGGTTAAGGTGTACTTGGAATAAATACTTTGTTTTTATTTCTACTGCACGTTCGGCCGCTCCCGCAGGCTCAGACACCCTACATCTGATTACCGCCGCTACTGTATATAACCTCTTAAGTATAGCTGCTGTGTGTGGTTTTCTGACAATCATCACCCACACTCAGCAGCAGCCTGAGTTCGGCTGCCAGCCACAAAATTTCCAGAGCAAATCCAAACCTCATGTGACATCTTTTCTGTTTTTATTTTTTTACTATGCTGTTAGAAATGTCAAAATCTTATGTCTGGAGGTACTCAGGCACCACAGGAGATTTACTGGCTGTTTGAGCACCAGAGGAGTAATTAAGAACAGTATCTAATTGGTCAATTTGCGCCATCCTGAGTATATTCATTAAAAAGCCCCCGTCCTTCCTGTTTTGTAGTGGTTCATTCCAGTCACAATGGGGCTGGTTATTAACTTTTATTATTTATTTCACATTATATTTAGAATTCCTAATTGCACTTTGAGAAATGGTTGGAAAGAAATGGTTTATTTTTTACCTGTTTGACCAAAGTAGTCAATCTGTCTTCATCAATTTGAGGTTTTTCATCCTTTATTTTACATTGGTTGTTGCACTGACTGAGCAAATTAAACTTGTTCAGTCAGTGCAATTCAGTGCATTTATGTCTGCATTTAAGAAAAATATGGCACTAAGTCAATTCGGCTTCTCATTTTTTCTGTGCTGAACGACAACATTTGTGGGTTTTTAAACTTTCTGCAACTGAAGATCTGAATAGTGTGGAGTGCATTTATATCCAGTGTATATCTGGGTGTGTGTGACATGTTGTAGCCTCCAACATGTTTTTTTTTTTTTTTTTTCCTTTTTTCATGCTTCTTCAGGACACTTCATGACACACACGATGCCGCCACTAGAGGTCGATGTACACCCCAGGCAGCCAATGTTTTGGCCCATTTAATTTTGCATAGGAAAAAAAAATTAACTGTTTAATATACAAATCAAACAAAAGAGGCAGAACTACATCAAAATATGCTAATTATTTTTGGCTAAATTGAGACTTGTGTAATCTGTCATTTTTATCATTTAAATGAAAAAGTAATGTTGACTAAAACTTGGCAGTACATATCGACTGATGTCAAAATAATTGGTATCAAACTTAAAAAACTTAAATCTTGTTGCCACCATCATATTTCACCATGACGATGTCATTGTCATGGTGACATTAAGGTCACTATTGTCTCATCCGACCACAACACTTTCATCTGACTTTGAAGAATGCCTGAGTAATAAGATATTAGCATTTAAATGAATGTTGAACATATCAAATTCAATATAACATTGAGAAAACACTGACAAATCTTTATGGGCTTTTCGCTCTTTTATTTGTGAATCTGCATATTCAGCTGTTCATTAAGTTGGAGACACATTTTCATCAGATGTCTGAGTAAATATTAGCTAAAACAAAAAAAGTACTTAAGAGAAAATATGAAAACTGTAAATCTAAAAAAAAAGTAAATAATAACCAGCATTTTTACAAAACACGAACTGTGCATCACTTCAACCGAAAGGTCGGTATCGTTAGTATGCCGTCCGTCCTCCACGTCAGATAAAACCTTGTGGCAAGCAAAAGAAAAAAATAAATGGAAAGCAGTGATATAAAGAAGGGGGGAAAAAAACAAAAAACCTGCTTCTGTAATTGAATTTTCCAGCAGAACATCATGGATAACCGAACTCTAAATTACAAAGAGAAAAACAAATGAGATGCTACATGTGCAATGTCATCAGAGGACAAATAAAGAATGAACAACACCCTCCCTCCCACAAGTCAGTGGGTTTCACTGTGATGGCAGCAAACAGA